ACACACACACACACACACACACCCCGCCCATGACTCCTGATGAGTTTATTTTCTATTTAAACATAAAAACAGCATTTTAATAACAGCTAAATGTGACATAGATACTTTATTATGGTATAGTATTTAAATATATGCCTGAGAAACCCATAATATTGGCCCTTAAAAAGAGACATTGTGCGAAAAAAAACTTTTAGCTGTTAACTGCATTTTGATGTGTACTTGGTGTGTTTCTAAACCCTGGTTCTCAAGTCTCACTGTATATTTTAGAAGTTTCCCTTCTTTAACACACCTGATTCAGATGATTGCAGTTCAACAAAAGCGTGTTAATCAGTTATCAACTGAAGTTTGCTGTGTTGTAGCTGGGAAACTCAAACATGCAGAGCAGTGTTCCTTAAGGACCAGCGTTGAAAAACACTGATCTAGATGTGCAGAAAAGATTAATTTAGTCTCTCTGGGTGCTGCATAAATTTCTTTAAATCTTTTTGGGTCATATTTTTCAACCCTGTCAGTTTTCTCTACTTTTTATTAAGTTTCTGTATTTGCAACAGGACTCCTAAATAAGATCTGAACTTAACAAATACAAATTTGTTGTCTTCATTCTGCCCTGTTGTATTTGCAATCAAACTAGAATGAACAGGTCTGGGTGGGGGGTGTAAAGCAGCTTGCTTGGATAATAGAACCTCAAAACAAGTTGATTTGAGATACACCTCAGGAAAGTATGGGGTTCACATCTGGAACTCCATAAAAGAGGGACTTAAATTCTGACCAGATGAGTGCAGTTCTACTTTATATAGACTCCAGATGAATGATTTAAAAATCATTCATCATGTAGCTTTTAACGAGTAGAGGTTTTGACAATTAACTGGAAGATTTCCACAATTCTTCAAAGGAAATAGCTCAAAAATATTGACAAGTCAAAGTGTGTTGTGATGCATCAAATCTAAACCCCATTAAGATATGTATTACACGTCATCATCAGGCGACCAAACAGACATCTTTGCTTTGTCGCGTTGTAAAGTTATTTATCGTAGATATTTTTTGTCAGTTTACTCAAGTGTCATGTAAAATATGTGTTTATACATATAACAAACCGATTTTTATTGCAAACCTTGAAATTAAAGGTTTAAATAATCGCTCCGGGTGAAGTTGCCGTGTCCTCGTCTGTCGCAGACATGGTTTTGTGGGAAAGTGTTTCTCTTCTTGTTTTACTCCGGTGTTTTTCTGAAACGTCAAGCTCTTCGGTTATCACAGTTGATGTTGGAAAACCAGAAAGAGAACTCGAACACTTCTGGAGGAGCACGGGTTTCTGGTGAGTCAATGTAAACAAACCTCAGTGTGTTTACAGTCACTCCTCCATAAAGCTCTGTAAACAATTAAATGGGAAGAACAGGATTTTAATAAAACCAAAGTAAGTTTATTTTTATCCAGAATTCAGTTAAATAATTTCATAAATTTAGGGAGATATATTTATTTTTTATTATTGTCAAAACAGTTGGGATTTTTTTTTTATTTTTAGCTGAAATACTGAGAAAAATGTATAGGTATTGTATACATACAACTTTGTAACTTGTTTTCTTATTATATGTGTAGCCCCCCTCTCCCCCACAGCCAGGCTGACCAGTTTGACCTGAGCATAGACCAGCAGCTGAATCTGGCCTATGTGGGTTCAGTCCCACATGGAGGGATCCAGCAGGTCAGGATCCACTGGATGTTGGAGCTGGTCACAGCACAGTGAGTCTCCTGGCTCAACATGTATTTATAGTTCTGATGTGATGCAGACTGACAGCTTCATGGTTTTTATTTCAGAGATATTGAAGGAAAACCTCAGTATAACTTCACTAAACTGGATCAGCTGATAGAGCTCTTGTGGGTAAATGGACTCCAGCCAGGTACTGCAAAAAACAAACAAAATATCTAAAATAATCTTCACGTGTTCATTCTGTGATTTGGTTTTGTTAGAATTATTGTCACTAAAACTTATCATATATGTAAAATACACATATGAAATACAGTATGTATGTATGTGTGTATGTATGTATGTGTGTGTGTGTGTGTGTGTGTGTGTG